TCGACTCAAGCCTCTAGCAGAAATGAGCACCAGTAATATTCTTGGAATGTTGGTGGTAAAGGGCTGCTGGCGCATAAGATTGGCAACCTTACCGCCATCTGCGAGGCGATTGTCTAGAAAATGTGGGAACCTTAAGGTCTCGCAACCCTATGGGCCTCCACGTCCTGTAAACGGGGTTTTCTTATATGTAGATCTTGTGTGATGTTTGCTCATTCTTGTGACCTTTAGCATGAACTAGACTGCTTTAGCTCCTCTTGTGGAGCTTGGAGCCCCAAAGTTTTGTTACTGCAATGAGTGGACTCCCTTTGGCAGATTGGTTCTCATGCTATTTATCGATGCTGTGTCATCTGAAAGAGTATGTAGCATGGAATGAGACAGTAAGATTTTATTGAACAGGAATAGGATGGGAACATCAAGGCATTAGTATAGTGTGACATTTGCATGGAATAACTGAAGAAACCCGCTCAAAGCTGCAGTCAACATATATGTTGAAGGAATGGAGATTCAACAGCTGTTACCACTGTAGGAGTCTGCTGAGCTGATCACATCACTCTTTTAACATGTATTGAAGAGTACATATTAAGTAGCTCCTCAGTGTACTTTTCTCCATCGTGCTTATATTTCTTCCTTCTCGTAACAGTTTAATAATAGAGACAGGATTCTGCCTCCAACGAAACACTCCGCATCAACTTCACACTTTCAGCTAATTGTCTTTGGTGAAAGATTCACTGTCTGTTCTGATACCCAAACTGACCCCATATGTAAACTCCATGAACAAAATGGCCTGTAGTCTTATCTTAAGAGTGGTACAGATGTATTAAATAGACATAAAATGGCAATCTATTCAGAAATTATTATAACGATTACGGCAAAGTTTCACATTTCATAAAATAACAAGAAATAAAGTCAAAATTTAAGCTATACGTTCTTTGGGGAACAGAATGGAGGACAGAAGATTTTGAAAGGAATTAGAGCAAGCATTCTCCCGATTTGATGTGACCTTAGTTCCTTAATACAATTTTCAATATTTTTTTTTTTTTTGCAAAATATTTATTTAACCTTTCCAACTCCTTCAGAGAGTTGATTAGCTATATTTTCCTTACGATTCTGCCCTGTATTTAAGGACTACATAAATATGTATTTATTTGTATCCGTGTTCACTTCTAGACCAATTACTACCAAGAAAAACTGAATATTTATGAGGAAAGTTATTTTCTTGCAGTGATACGCTTCCAATAACATAGTATACCTCACTGATCGTAGAGTGAGAATTTGTGTTTTTGCCTTTCACTGTGAAGGAAGTAAAAGAAATGTAGAAATAATTACTTCTGTTGCGTTTTCATGATTGCAAATGATTATTTTATAAGTACTGATGTTTTTAGATATATTATACTTGGGGAAACATTTTCTCTTAGACATGGAGCTGGCATTGTCTGTGGGCCAGCTTGTCACCGTGGGACATAAATACAGAGACCTGGTCCTCTGGGTTAGCTGTCGCGTGCAAGGCTGATGACCTTGCACTGTAATAAGAATTGTTGCGAAATTGATGATGTGAATCTGGGTGCACTAATACGCGAGACAGATGTGGCAGAATCCTGTATGGGAGTGTGAAGTAGATACCACAATGAGAGAAAAACAGAAACTTTAATTGATGCCAGTAAGGAGTTTTGTGTAAAAGTAAGCACAGAGGAAAGTAAGTGTATGTTTATGTTTCATCAGCAGAATGTAGGGCAGAATCATGACATAAAGATAGCCAACGGATGCTTTGAAAAAGTGGCACAATTAAGATATTTGAGGAGGACGGTATACGAATAGACTGCAGTTTTCCCCGCTATTGGCGCTGTTGCCGTCGGTGCAGTATGGTGTGGTGTGGAGTGGAGTGGGGTATCGATGTTGGAAGCCATGCCACTTGCGGCGACATTTTGAAGCTAATTTGTTTATCTGCAGGCAGCCATTTTGTGAGTTGGATGGTCAAAGGCGAAGAAAGATTTGTGAGGATTTTGTTGAAATGTAAGTGGTAATAAGAAGTGTTTTGCCGTTATTTATTCATTTAATGTGCACATTATTGGAGAATGTTCAATACTGTTTGTTAGCGAATGGTTTCCTGGCTGTATTGACGTTGATTTTGTAATGAAATCATGAGTTGTAAATGCCGTAAAAAATTTAATAGTTTCTTGCATCGTGTTGTGTATGTAACGAATATTGAGAGTTAATTTCACGACAAGGAACTTAATAGATCCAACATAAGAGGACGTGGAAGAACAAGACCTTCAAAAGTGAAAGTGCAGTCAATGTGATGAGTTGAAGTTTATTTCATGAACTTTTTAACCAAGTGGTGATAATACAACTAGCTGCAGTGAACTAAATTTTAACTTTCAACATTTGTATTTTTAACTTATATTTTATAAGAAGAACTTGACACATTATTTGAGCGTGGACCTGAACAGGATACAGGATCAAAAATAAGTGGAAAAACGAATGTGATTGCGTGTGATTGTGCAACTGTGTTCGTACACCTGAAGATGACCTCTTGAGGCCGAAACATGTAGTGTTACAGTAAATAAAAAACGTGTTGTGTGGTCGGTGAAATTAACTCTAATATGCCGTAAAAAAGTTTGGACCATGGGGTATGTAATTTCAGCTTTCAAATTAACTGGAACAGTACGAGTTCAGTGCAGTCTTAAGAGCTTTTCAAGACATACATAACAAACCTTCACATCAGAATAAAGCTTAATATAATGTGGTAGATGTAAAATGATTTGCAGATCAGGAGGAGTGAGTTAAGAGAGAAACAATAATGTAAAGTAGGCTAGAATACTTAGAAGTTGCCATTTTACCATTTAATTGTCAGTGGATGTAGGGATTTATTTCTGAGTTAAGCTAATTATGTATTTGTCATTGTGATGTTCTACTGGAGCTGCATCATATATTTCTTTGAAGTAAGTGGGTTTATTCTTTTTCTTCAGGCTAATTTTTGGAGAATTAAGAAACGTGCTTGGAGTTTGTCACTTGGTGGGCTCTGCATGACCCGTTTATGAACTGATTTGCAATGAGACAGATCTGACTGTGTGAACATGCAAAAGCTTCAGTGATGTGTTTTGTAGAGATCTGGGGGAAATGGATCAACCTCTGGTCATCTTCTGTCGCACAAGTGTGTCTTAATGACTGGAAATATCACCACCACAGCATACTATGATTTACGTTGTAACGTGTTTACGTTACCGAAGACGCCGTAGAGATGGTTAATTGGTTTATTTAACAATCTACAAATAACGGCTACAATTAATTATCACACAGTTGCGGGGATTCACACTTTATAACCCTAATCGCATTAATCTGTCGACACTGTTGCGGGGTTTCACGATTTATAACCCTATGCGCAAATCAGTTCGCTCTGCCTTCAGTAGTCTACACGTTTACAGTAGGGGAGCTTTGTATCACTGTATCACACGCTCCCAAGTTCACAATCACACACACGTCCGGTTCTTCTTTCCGCGACGGCTGCTATACTCCAACTTGTAGTCGGCTGGCTGTTACTTTATAACTCGGCGGCTGTCACAGTACAACTGAAGTCGCCGAGTGCTACAGTAGAACTCCCTGGTAGCCACATTAGAACTGACTGTGAATAGCCTTCGCTGCTCCGTATGTAGCCTCGATCGGACAGTACGGGAAAACGGCCACGTAATAGACACCCTTTTTGCCTGGCGCTGTGTTGCCATGTAACGCTAGCGGAAGTAACCGCTGTTACTATCGTAACGTCGCCGCTGTTGACTCGCGTTGCCTAGCGACCGCGATATCCCTCGGTGACGTCACCGCGGAGGGGAGTGGCGGGGCGGGAACTCGCCTATTACCGTAAGAACGCGAGCGTTACGTTACCGCCACGTACCGCTGGGGAGGTGGGGGTCAACATGTCACAACGTAGCTGATTCCGAAAGTAAGGTCTCCAAAGCGCTGGGTAATGTCTCGTGCGGCTGTTGGCAACCCTCTTGCATTCGTTGCTTCCCCCACTCCCCCCAATACCCCCAAGCATGCGCTCACGTAGCTAGGACGCTCAGTCTTGGCACGGTTGCCGTTAGAAATGGAGCTCCCGATTACTAAAACCGCGAAGTGTGAGATTCGCGCAGTTATTCGGTTTTTGAATGCAAAAGGGACTAAACCAATTGAAATTCATCGTCAGTTGGTGGAAGTGTATGGCGAGTCGTGCATGGACATAAAGAACGTCCGCAAGTGGTGTAGGGAGTTTGAATCTGGTCGTACTGCAATACACGACGAAAAAAAAGAACTGGGAGACCGTCAATTTCTGACGAGACAGTCGCGAAGATTGAGCGAGTCATGCGTCAGGATAGGCGCATCACACTCGATTTCTGCATTTCGGTTCCCGAGGTTTCCCGAACCACCATTTATCGGGTTTTAACAGAGAAGTTGAATTATTGGAAGGTGTGCGCAAGATGGGTCCCGTGAATGCTCACGGAAGACAACAAACGGCAGAGAGTTCACTCTTCCCGTGAATTTCTTCGCCGCTATGCTGACGAAAAGGACAACTTCTTGAATTCAATTGTCACAGGCGACGAAACCTGGGCGTACCACTTCACACCTGAGACAAAACAACAATCACGTCAGTGCAGTCCCTCTTGTAGGAGTTATATTAGTTGTTCTCTGCTTTCACACTTAATTTTGAACTGTTAGTTGTTTGGTTTTATGGAGCATGTGTTTGTTATTCAAATGTGTTTTTCCTCGCACTGATACTTGCTTCCCTGCGTGCCTGCGTGCGTGCCTGCCTGCCTTAGGCTGCTTGTGGCTTTTCACTTGGATCCTGCCTGATTGCATACCGACCTTTGCCATCCATGCAGCTCAAGAGTATTCTCACCCAGTATGCATGTGGCTTCCATTAGCCTAAGGGAGTAGAAACACTCACTATTTCCTTAAAATGAAATTTTCACTTTGTAGTGTAAGATAAGGAATTGTGATATAGTTGATGGAATTTGAAGACTGTTAAATATGATTTCACACGCATATTTGATTGAAACTGTTGTTTTTCATAAATAAGATAATAAATTTTTGTGATTGTGATATTTAGTTCAGTTTCATGATATATTTCTGGAAAGTAAATGTCAATTTCTTGTCCTTCAGGCCATGTTTTGGAGAAGAAGGAAATGTTGGAAGTTGCTGATTGTGGGGGCCCCGTGTAACGGTTGACAGATGTTAGTGGCAGTGAGACAGTCGTCACTGAATGAAGAGGAAAAGACACTATGATGTGGTGATGAGTGTTGCTAATAAATGGTGTACTCGTGGGTATGTTAGAGACACACCAGTGGTCCTAGTGACGGTGAAAATGATACCGCCACAACATACCACCATTACGAGGTAACATCTACATCAACAGTTCTGCCAGCTGGTGTTAAGTGAGTTGTTCTGTACATTTAGACTTATTTGCCACGTATTAAATTTTAGTTTTTAAGTAACATGTCTTCGTTATGCCAAAGGGTATATCCCTTAACTGTCATGATCATGAATTTCGCATATGTGCTTCTGTCTGCCTCTAACTGCATGCATATCTTCAGCATGTTTAAACCCTCTTTTCTATACCTTTTCCTGCCTGCCTGCCTGCTTGCCTGCCTCATTTCCTCATGCATCGTACTAGGTGACATTGTACTTAGCTAGATTTATGTGAATTCCCTTGGAATGAGGAAATGAAAGAGACACTGTATTGACTTGACATGAAATTTTTCGGTTACTGATGTAATATATAAGAAAATGTGATGAAGTTGACTCAAGGCATAATGGAAATTGTGACAGTGGTAAAATGCTTTGTCACACATAATTAACTTGAACTGTTCTCTGTTATAATTAAGCTAATTATGTACTTGTGATTGTAATTTTATAGAGGATATTCATCATATATTTCTTTGTAGTAAGAGGATTTATTCTTTTTCTTCAGGCTAATTTTGGATAACTAGACAACCTGCATGGATTTTGCTGCACGACCCATATATGAAGTGATTTGCAATGACACAGATCTGACTGTATGAACATGCAAAAGTTTCAGTGATGTCTTTTGTATAGAATTGGAGGAAAAAGGATCAACCACTGGTCATGTTAATTCGCTCAAGAGTCTTAATGACGGAACTAGCAATGCCACACCTTACCATCATTTATGAGGTAAGTTTTAGAGCTGCAGTCCCTCTTGTAGGAGTTATATTAGTTGTTCTCTGCTTTCACACTTAATTTTGAACTATTAGTTGTTTGGTTTTATGGAGCATGTGTTTGTTATTCAAAAGTGTTTTTCCTCGCAGTGATACTTGATTCCCTGCCTGCCTGCCTGCCTGCCTGCCTTAGGCTGCTTGTGGCTTTCACTTGGATCCTGCCTGATTGCATACCAACCTTTGCCATCCATGAAGCTCAAGAGTATTCTCACCTAGTATTCATGTGGCGTCCATTAGCGTAAGGGAGTAGAAACACTCACTATTTCCTTAAAATGAAATTTTCG